ATATATAAAAAATTGGTAGTGTATTTCAACCTTTAAAATTTTATTTCAGCCCTCACCCATTTTCCTTAAAGGGATAGTTCACCATTTTAATGTTCAACAGAAGAAAGTCATTCCGTTTGATGACGGTAACATTCTTATTATCCCTTTAAGAAATATGGGTGAAACAATGTGAGCTTTGAGAACGACTTTTAAGAGTATATCCAGTTTTGTTTTTTTTATTGACAGACTGTTCCTTCAACTTGCATACTGTAGTCCACACGGCTTCATTCAGTTACCTTGCCTCTAGGTGCAGCAAGCTGCTGCTGATCGTCTCTTTCTGATGTCTGATGGAGTCCAACAAACTCTGCAGCCGCTGCCTTTGAGATCCCACAGCTTCCTCCTGCTTCACAAAACTGACACAGAGATGGACATGGAAAAACATGGATATAGAGACTGTGATAAGGTATTGTTGGGGAGGAATATCAAAATATGTGTCAAAGAAACTGACGCATACTTTTGCTCTGACACCTCCCAATATCACAAAGCAAATAGATGGGAAATAATTACCCAAAACGCAAAAAAAGCCTATATAATTTTAATCTTCACATGTACTGCTATGATTGGGTAAATATGGACTATACCTGTGCCCCCTATGAGAGATCAGTTGACAGTCCTTACAGGTGAGCTCTTCACAAACGAGACAGAAGAACCTCAAGCTCTCCTGAGTGTGTGAGGGACAGCGTCTTCTCTGTATCCAACCTGAACAAAACAAACAGCAGAACAGGGCCCATATTCATGAAAAATCTTAGTGCTAAGAGTTGCTCCTAGTAACAAAATTCTAAGAAAATTCTTAGAAATGTGGGTGTTTCCTCTTAAAATTAAAAAAAAGATTCTAGTAAAGAAAAAAGTAATTTAGAAAGCATCTTAACCCTTAAAAGAGGTCTTAAGATCCAAAATTGTTAGGAGTACGGACGGGGACTTTTAAGAGGCTTGAGAGTTTCTTTAGCAGTGGAGAAAATGGACGAAACATGAAGAGGGAGAAGAAATGTGTTGCACACAATGCATGACAGTGAGTTAACAAGATGCTACACATTAGATGGTGCAGGGATCATGTTTGTGACCGATCTTATTAGAGACACATTAACATCTCCGACACCGCGCAGAAATGCCATAGCGCCAGAAATGAAAGTAAATCACTACATTAACTACATTAACATATTTGGCAACTGGAAAATACAACTATGCAGCAGTGATGATTTGGGTCTGTCACAACCTTCTATAAGCAAAGTGATCACACAAACAATTGCAGCACTTTCAGAACCTAATTGTGTCGCCGTTCATTTCCTATAAAATACGTTAAGTATGACAGCATGGTAAATAAAAAATAAAGAATATATATACATATATAATGTGTGTGTCCAACCAATCACAGTCTTCAAAAGACTGTGTCATAGCTAGCAACGGGGTCAACCCCGCCTCCTCACTAAGATAAAAGTTTTTGTCTTTTCCTCGCTCAGAATTGCTCTCAGATTGGCCCTGAATCACTTTTAAGCTAAGACTCCTAGTTAGAAAATTTTAAGCTAAATTAGGAGCTCTCCGAGAGGATTCTTTGGAGTGTTATAAGCTGTTCGTGAATAGATAAGATCCCTAA